TCACCATGCTCCTGGATCACAGCATTCCCAGCTCACATTAGGGATTCCTAACACCTTTTTCTCAGCTCAAGATGTTCCCAGCTCACTGCATTTCCAACTCTCCTTATCTACATCTCAGGGCACTTGGATCTAACAGTATTCCAGTTCATGGGCTTCCCAGCTCCTGGTCTACATACCACCCAATTCTCTGCTCATGACACACCAGGTCAAGATAATCACATCCATGAATTTCCAACTCACCTTATTCACAGCTCATTGTATTCCTGGCTCTGAGAGTTTTCAGCTTCGGGTGCGCCCAGCTCCTGGTACACTTGAGCTCCTGGTACACTGAGCTCCTGGTGCACCCAGCTCCTGGTACACCGAACTCCTGGTGCGCCCAGCTCCTGGTAGTCCCTGCTCTTGGTAGTCCCAGATCCTGTTATTTCTAGTTCATAGTATTCCCAGCTCTTGCATTCCCAGCTCCTAGTCCTAGCTCTGCTCACATAATCCCAGATCCTGATTTTGTCTCCTGCTGTGCTATTTCCAGCTCTTGATATCTAAGCTCACGACACCCTAGTCCATGGTGTTCCCTCATAACTCTCAACTCGCAATGTTCCCATCTCAAGGTATTCACAGCTCCTGCTATTCCCTGATCATGGAATTCCCAGCTCCAGGTATTCTCAACACTGGTCTTCCCCTGTCCTCCTATTCCCAGCTCAGGGTGTTCCTATCTTTCTGCATTCTATGCTCACGGTATTCCCAGCTTCTGGTTATCTCTAGCTGATATTAAGTATTTCCAACTCCCCTTATTCTCAGCTCACCTGTTCCCAGCTCATAGTATACCCAACTTACCTTATGTGCAGCTCGTGTTGTTCCTACCTCATGGAATTCCCAGTTCATGATCTTCCTGTTCTTGGTATGCCCAGATCCCAATATTCTGAGCTCCTGGTGTTTTTCAGCTCCTGGTGTTTCAAGCTCCTGGTAACTGCAGCTCATGGTATTCCCAAGTCACAATATTCCCAGTTACTGGTACTCTCAGATCCTCTTGATACAAGATCCTGTTTTCCACAGCTCAGTGTCCCTGAGCACTGGTATTAACAGCTCAAAATAGTCACATCTCATTGAGTTTCCAGATCATGACATTCCTGGCTGAGAGAATTCCCAGCCTATGACATCCCCAGCTCCAGGTTCTCCTGGGTCATGGTATCCCCAGCTCACTTTTCCTGGGTGACAGTGTTTCCAGCTCCAGGTATTCTCTGATCAAGTTAGTCCCAGCTTCTGGTATTTCCAACTCACAGTATTCCCAGCTTACCTTATTCTCAGCTCTTGAAGCTTCTAGCTCAAGCTACTCAAGGTTCCTGGTATTCCAGTTCATAATATTCACAGTTCACCGTATTCTCAGCTCAAGGTGTCACCAGCTCCTAGTATTCCCAGCTCATAGCACTCCCACCTTCTGGTTATCCCAGCTCACATTGGGGATTCTCAGTTCACCACAAGCTCAGCCCACTGTGTTCTAACTCACCTTAATCTCAGCTCACAATACTCATACTGATGTTATATTGAGATTTTTGGTGTTCCCAGGTCCTGGTATTCACAGCTCCTGGTATTCCCAACTTACCTTATTGTCAGCACACGATGCTCACAGCCCAAGGTATTCCCAACTTATGGTACTCCTGGCTCATGATACTCCTACATCAGGGTAGAACCAGCTCATGGTATTTCCATACCCTGGTATTGATAGCTCTTCATATTCACAACTCAAGGTATTCCTAGCTCTTGGTATTCACAGCTCAAGGTATTCACAATTCAGGGCATTCCAGCTCAAGATATTCCCAGCTCAAGGTAATAATAGCTCAAGGCATTCACAGCCAAAGTATTCACAGCTCAAGGCATTCCCAATTCCTGGTATTCATAATTCAAGGAATTCCAGCTCAAGGCATTTACAGCTCAAGGTGTTCACAGCTCAAGGTATTCACAGCTCCTGGTACTCCCATCTCAAGGTGTCTACAGCTGAAGGCATTCACAGCTCCAGTATTCACAGCTCAAGGCATTCCCAGCTCAAATATTCACAACTCAAGGTATTCACAGCTTAAGGTATTTACAGCTCAAGGTATTTACACCTCCTGGTATTCCCAACTTACCTTACTGTCAGCCCATGATGCTCTCAGCCCAAGGTATTCCCAACTCATGGAACCCCTGGCTCATGATATTGCTAATTCACGGTATTCCTAGATCATGGTATTCCATATCCTGGTATTCTAAACTCAAGGTATTCACAGCTCAAGGTATTCTCAGCTCCTGGCATTCCCGCCTCAAGGTGTACACAGGTGAATATATTTACAGCTCCAGTATTCATAGCTCAAGGCATTCTAGCTCAAGTATTCACAGCTCAAGTATTTACAGTTCCTGGTATTCCCAACTTACCTTATTGTCAGCCCATGATCCTCTCAGCCCAAGGTATTCCCAACCCATGGTACTCCTGGCTCATGTGATTGCTAGTTCACGGTATTGCCAGCTCATGGTTTTTCCATATCCTGTATTCCTGACTCAAGGTATTTACAGCTCAAGGTATTCTCAGCTCCTGGTATTCCCATCTCAAGGCATTCCAGCTCAAGATATTTACAGCTCAAGTATTCATAGCTGAAGGCATTGACAGCTCAAGTATTCACAGCTCAAGGTATTCCCAGTTCCTGGTATTCACAATTTAAGGCCTTCCAGCTCAAGGTCTTTTACAGCTCAAAGTATTGACAGCTCAAGGCATTCACAGCTCAAGGTATTTACAGTTCCTGGTATTCCCAACTCAAGGTATTTATAGCTCAAAGTATTCTCAGCTCCTGGTATTCCCATCTCAAGGTGTTCAGAGCTCAAGGCATTCACAGCTCAAGTATTCACAGCTCAAGGTATTCCTAGTTCCTCGTATTCACAATTCAAGGCATTCCAGCAAAAGGTATTAACAGCTTATGTTATTTACAGCTCAAGGCATTCCCAGCTCAAGGCATTCCCAGCTCAATGTATTCCCAGCTCAAGGTGTTCACAGCTCAAGGTATTCACAGCTCAAGGTATTCACAGCTCGAGGTATTCACAGTTGCAGTATTCACAGCTCAAAGCATTCACAGCTCAAGGCATGCACAGGTCAAGTATTCACAGCTCAAGGTATTTACAGCTCCTGGTATTCCCAACTTACCTTATTGTAAGCCCATGATGCTTGCAGCCCAAGGTATTCCCAACTCACGGTACTCCTGGCTCATGATATTCCTAGTTCATGATATTTCCAAATCCTGTATTCCTGACTCAAGGCCTTCCCAGCTCAGGGCGTTCACAGCTCAAGGTATTCACAGCTCAAGGTATTCACTGCTCTAGACATTTACAGCTGAAGGCATTTCAGCTCAAGGTATTTACAGGTCAAGACATTCACAGCTCAAGTATTCACAGATCAAGGCATTCCCAGTTCCTGGTATTCACAATTCCAGGTATTCCAGCTCTCATATTCACAGCTGAAGGTATTAAGAGGTCAAGGCATTCACAGCTCAAGGTATTTACAGTTCCTCGTATTCCTAACTTACCTTGTTGTCAGCCCATAATGCTTGCACCACAAGGTGTTCCCAACTCATCTTACTCCTGCTTCATGATATTCCTAGTTCAAGGTATTTCCAGCTCATGGCATTTCCATATCCTGGTATTCAGAATTCAAGACATTCCAGCTCAAGGTATTCACAGCTCAAAGTATTCACAGCTCAAGGTATTCACAACTCAAGGTATTCACAGCTTAAGGTATTTACAGCTCAAGGTATTTACACCTCCTGGTATTCCCAATTTACCTTATTGTCAGCCCATGATGCTTGCAGCCCAAGGTATTCCCAACTCATGGTACTCCTGGCTCATGATATTGCTAGTTCACGGTGTTGCCAGTTCACGGTTTTTCCATATCTTGTATTCCTGACTCAAGGTATTTACAGCTCAAGGTATTCTCAGCTCCTGGTATTCCCATCTCAAGGCATTCCAGCTCAAGGTATTTACAGCTCAAGGTGTTCACAGCTCAAGGCATTGACAGCTCAAGTATTCACAACTCAAGGTATTCCCAGTTCCTGGTATTCACAATTCAAGGCATTCCAGCTCAAGGCATTCACAGCTCAAGGTATTTACAGTTCCTGGTATTCCCAACTCAAGGTATTTATAGCTCAAAGTATTCTCAGCTCCTGGTATTCCCATCTCAAGGCATTCCAGCTCAAGGTATTTACAGCTCAAGGTGTTCACAGCTCAAAGCATTCACAGCTCAAGGCATTCACAGCTCAAGGTATTTACAGTTCAAGGCATTCCCAGCTCAAGGCATTCCCAGCTCAATGTATTCCCAGCTCAAGGCATTCCCAGCTCAAGGTATTCACAGCTCTAGGTATTCACAGCTGGAGGCATTCCCAGCTCAATGTATTCCCAGCTCAAGGTGTTCACAGCTCAAAGCATTCACAGCTCAAGGCATTCACAGCTCAAGTATTCACAGCTCAAGGTATTTACAGCTCCTGGTATTCCCAACTTACCTTATTGTCAGCCCATGATGCTTGCAGCCCAAGGTATTCCCAACTCATGGTACTCCTGGCTCATGATATTTCCAGCTCATGGTATTTCCATATCCTCATATTCCCAACTCAAGATATTCCCAGCTCAAGGCATTCACAGCCCTACGGCATTCACAGCCAAGGCATTCCCAGCCCAAGGTGTTCCCAGCTCAAGGTATTCAGAGCTCAAGTATTCAAAACTCAAGGTATTTTACAGCTCAATGTGGTCATAGCTCAAGGTATTCACAGCTCCTGGTATTCCCTACTTACCTTATTGTCAGCCCATGATGCTCACAGCCCAAGGTATTCCCAACTCATGGTACTCTTGGCTCATGATATTCCTAGTTCACAGTATTCCCAGCCCACGCTATTCCCATCTCCTGGTATTCACAGCTCCTTCCTGGTATTCCAGCTCAAAATATTTCCACGTCACCCTCTTCTCAGCTCATGGTGTTTCCAGATCATACTCACCGTCACCATGGAATTGGCCTGCATTGTGATGTTGGGGAGGAAACGGTATGAGGAAACTGGATGTCCACCCACATTCTGCAGGAGAATGTGATCTCCAATCTCCATTTCTTTGTCAGTGGACGAGTTAACAAGTCTCACAAATAATCCCTTGATATTCACCTCAGCTATTTTAATATCTCCAAGAGAACTAGAAAACAAAAGGTATAGACGGTTAGGTGATCTGGATAGAAATGTCTTGGGCTCACATTAAAAACGTAATGTGATGCAAGCCTGTAATTTCAGCACTTGGGGTGCAGAGGCAGGAGAAGGGCAAGTTCAAGGTCAGCCTAGTGTCTGTGGCACGTTCCAAGCTAGCCAGGGCTACACAGACTGTCTCAAAAGAGAAATTAAAAGCAAAACCTTGAATAATAAATGTTAAGCTATGTACTCTCGTGGACATGGTCTACAAATCATGTATGTTAAAACTAACAAACATGCCTAGACCTCAGTTCCGATCTTTATCAGAACCTCACCATTTCACATAAAACAAAGAAAACCTGAAATGTTTTTAGGTGTCAGGGTGTCATGGGAAAATGATATGATTGGGATTTTCTCAGTTTCCCACTATCCAATATAAACCATTGTGACATGAAACAGGCAAATGGCAATCAAGAGGCTGAAGAGATGACTCAGTCATTGAGTGCTGACTGCTCCTGAAGAGGACTTGGGTTCAGTTCCCAGCACCTACATGGTGGATAACAGTCATCCTAACTCCAGTTCCAGGGGATCTGACACCCTCTTCTGACCTCCGCAGGCATTGCCTAACATTGGTGCACTTACAGGCATAACACTCATAAAAATAATAAATAAAAATATTTAACAGTTGAATAGCTTGATAATACTTACTGGATAAGGTGGGATTCCCTTTAGGTCTTTAAAATGGTCTCCTATCAAATTTTATGATGGAGGAGAAAGAGGAATCCAGGTCTCAGGTGTTATTATTTCAACATAATCTCCCTCTGTCTTTCATGATTGGGAAAACTTTCATCTAATCCTCTATCCCTCTCAATCTGTTGAAATTTAAGAAACTTAATTGGTCGTTTTAGTTGCCTTCTCCATTTGCGTCCCTCTATCGCTCCTTAGCTCTGTTCCTCTACAATTTCTTACTATAGGTCCAAATTCAAAAAACTTCAGGAAAACTAAAAATGTTTTCATGTCTATGTATGTGTGCATGGTATTTGTGCATGTGTTCTTGCATTCACAATGCACCCATGTGTGAGGTGCAAGGTGCTGATGTGTGCATGCATGTGTGGCGGCCTGGGGTTGACCCTGGCTACCTTCCTCTGTCCCTCTCCACCTTGTATGTTGAGGCAGGGTCTCTTGCTAAACCCAGAGCTTGTGAATTCATCTAGTCTGGCTGGCTGGCTGGCCCTGGGATCTCACTGGGATTACGTGGCTGTCTTGTCCAACCAGCTTTTACATGGTTTCTGGGGATCAGAAATCTAGTCCTCATGTTTGCATAGCAAATGCTTTACATATCTGAACCATCTCTCTGGCCTCTAAAATACACATTTTAAAAGCGTAATTTCAACAAAAATCTACCCCAAACCAAGATGAGGTGATTTATAATTGTCATTGTTGATTTTCATATTATTCTATGCTTGATTTATTTTATGTTCCTCTAAACCTGACCTATGTTATGGATTCTAAGCATCACATAGTCCCTAAAATTCCCCAAATCCCTCTCCTTCACTCCCCAGGTCTCCATCTGTTGCTTCACTCAGCTACTATGATTGCATACAGGGCTCCTCTAATTGTTTGCTCTTTTTTGTGTCCTAGATAAAAACTAGTTCTCTACTTTTGTCATGTTTTCCTCTAAGTGTTTCGAAAATTTGGTTTTCACATCCTTAATTTGTGTACTTTGTCATTTATTTTCTACCATCTATCATTTACCTATCTATCTATCTATCTATCTATCTATCTATCTTTCTATTTATCTACCTATCAATCATCTATCTCTATCATCTGTCTCTCATCTATGTATCATCTATGTATCATCTAGCATCTATCTATCTATCTATCTATCTATCATCTATCTACCTCTATCAGCTATCTCTCTATCATCTATCTATCTACCTATCTATCAATCATCTACCATCTATCTACCATATATCTATGCTCTAGCTATCATCTATCTCTACCACCTATCATCTATCAATCTCTATCATCTGTCTATCTATCAATCTCTATCATCTGTCTATCTCTGTCATCTGTCTATCATCTATCTGTTGTCCACCTCTATCATCTATCTATCTATCTATCTATCATCTATCTCTATCATCTACCTATCAGCTATCAATTATATCATCTATCATCTATCTATCATCTATCTATCATCTATCTATGTATCTATCAATCATCTATCTAACTCTATCATGTCTATCATCTATCATCTATCTAATCATCTATCTCTATCATGTATCTATATCATCTTTCTATCATCTAACTATCTATCTATCTATCTATCTTCTATCATTTATCTTTTTCTACATCTATCAATCTATCAATCATCTATCATCTGCCATTGCTCTGTCCCACTGTCTATTATTTATCTATCGATCATTTATCTACCTACTTACCTGTCTGTATCCAAAGCACCTCAACTTCAGATGTTGAAGTCCATTATAAGTTGGAAACATAAGCTAAAAACACATCCAGCACACCTCCACCCTACTGAACCTCACACCACCACAGCCACACAGCACCCTGTAGAGCTCACTGTTTGCCTCCACAGTAGCAGGGCTGCAAGCAGGGTAGCAAGCCCACTGCTGGCTGGAAAAAGGTCAAAGTTCCAAAGGCACTTTTTGTTAACTGTTTGTTGCACCACTGTAGAGCTGAAAACCTTCTAAGTTGAACTATCCCAAGGTCAAAGTTCCAGCATGGATGGAGAAAGCCTTCAGTGGCCCCATACCTATGAGGCCCTACTGGCAGCCGACAGCTGCTGGAGGAGGGGAAGCCATTTTTCTTTAGGGGATTTGACCACTGGTAGGTTGTCCATGCTCCAGTCACACACACAGCCGTTCACATAGGAACGGCGCCCATGCTCTAGTCACACACACACAGCTGTTCACGTAGGAGTGGCACCAGTGGACTCACTGTGATGTGAGAAAAAAAAAAAAACAGAGGACATGAAATTGGGAGGTGGACACATATGGGGGGTCATGAAGAGTAGGGGGGAAATGGGACCAAGCTTGGTGACCAGAGCTCAAGCCCCAAGACCCATGTGCTAGAGAGAACTGACTCCTGAAAGTTGTCTTGACTTCCACACCCATGCCATGGTACACAGCACACATGTGTGCATGCGCGCGCACACACACACACACACACACAATATGACAATATATAATTATAATATATAATAAATGTAATTAAAAATTTTAAACTGTAGTAAATAAAAGCAGGCCTTATTTCTATTTCTCTTAGGTCATGATGTTATTACAGCAGCCAAGCAAAACTAATATGCACAACTTACGATTACACAATTAGTGGACAGAACTGCTGTCCATTTCATCTCTAATTTTAGTTCCACTGCTGTCATCAGCAATTTCTTTCAGTGTCTCTTGTCTTCTATTTTTTGTGTTGATAAGCCACCTGCCATCCAATGATTGACCATCTTTAAATAAACACCTTTCACTTTTCTTTATAGATTCTGTTTTAGAAGTCTTTTAAAAATGTACCTAGGCTGGCTGGCTTGCTTCTGTCTTCCAAGTGGTGATGAGCCAGTAATGTTCACTGAATCTCTGGTCTGACGGCTTTCAGCAGAGTGAGAGAAACTCTCTGCTGTTGGTGAATATTCCAACTACACTGCTCTCACTCAGTTGTCCCTCTTCTTCAGTAAGCACAACTGTAAATAGTGACATTTCCTTTTACGATTCTTTCTAACATTTGTGTGTCTGTGTGTGTGGATGCAGGTGCCATGGTATGTGTGGAGGTCAGAGGACAGCTTGTGGGAGTCCACCATGTGTGTCCCAAGGCTCAAACTTGGGTCTTCATATTCGGTAGCAAGTACCTTCCCCTGCTGGTCCATCGCGCCGGCCCTAGGTTTCTTCTAAATTTTCCCTTGTTTATAAGCTATGCTTTTCTAAAACCCCTTGTTCTCTATAATCTAAACTGGATATTTTATTCTAAAATGATTCCAATATTACTAAAATGATAATTTGTTATTGGATTTTTTTTTTGGTAAAAGTTTGTAATAGAACTTTTTTGCTTTTGATTCTTTTACTTCTAGTGTGCCAATCTGGGCTAAAATTCTTAATTTTTCACAAAGTTCTTCCTGTAATTTACTCATTGCGTATTAGAAATCCTTCTCAGAAACCCACAATATGGCATCTCCTATGCTTGTTTCTGGTATCCACTGTTGACCTTTGTTTGGTCGACTTTTATTTGTTGTATTTATTTGCTGCTGTGCATGTCGTTAGCGTTGATTTGGTTTCTAATATTATGTGAAAACCTGCAGAAATCATTTAAGGTATTGTATAGTGTTTTACCAGTCAAGGGAGAATACACTGTCTGCTACTGGTAGACATATAAGTTGAAAGAGAAAAGCTCACATCGCTATAATTGAACCGGAGTTTGAAGTGGTTTGACACTAGGCCTGTCTACTTTGAACACAGTGTTATTTCACTACTCTGAAGTTCTAACTGAAAACCGGAGGGCGGCCCTCCTTGTCACATCCCAAATGCTATTTTTTTATCCTATGACTCTTCCGAAATCTCTAACTGCTCAGCCTCTGAGCTACTAATTTCAAACTGGCAGCTGCTTTGAGCATCTCCAAGCACCAGGCTGTGTCTGTAGGTACCAGCTCCTCTGGGGGACAGTGTGAGAACCAGGGACGAGCCTGCAGATGCTCTTGCTTTCCGCACCAAGTTCCCTTCAAAATAGTGGTCTCATGTCACACACACCAGAGTGTGGGAGCAGCTGTTTCAGAGGGATTTGCTCCTGAACTTACAGGACAGTTTCTTCTCTTTTGTGTGTTATTATGGTTCCAACTATACTGTGGATGTAATATCTCTTTTTTCAAATTCTTGGGAGTCTACAACATCGTCCTCAGCTCATTGTTACTGAATTCTCTGTAGGATCTTCTCATTTTCTCTATGTATTTTTACTTGTATGTATGTATGTTTACCGGCATGATGTTATGTGTATCATAGGCATGCAGGAGCCCATGGAGGTCAGAAGAGGACATCAGAACTCTAGGGAGTTGGAGTTACAGGCAGTTGTGATCCACCAGGTAGGTGATGGGAACTGAACCTGTGTCCTCTGCAAGAGCAGTCACACTTTTTTGCTTTTCAGATTTTCTTCCTTTTCCCAGAGTAAGACTCTGTCTGACTTTTGTTTTCATACAGATGGAGACTGGTAGAGTGCAAACGTTTGTTATCATCACATGTGAGTATTTGTAGTTGCTTCTCAAAAATCTTAGAGCACTCAAGGGAACTGTTTATCATCCTAAACTTACATTTTATGCACATATCTATGACAAATTTGCTTGTCTGGAAGGAAATAAGACATTCCTAGTGTCAGGGGACTTTGCTTGCCTGGCATTCAATATGAGACCAAAGGCTACAGGAAAAACACTTCACACATTCCGTGGAAATCCAGAGGCAGCTATTAACCTGCTGTCACACAGGCTGTAGTAGCTATTGTTCCTCTTCCCAGCAAGCCTTTGCATTATCTGTGCATAAGTGTCTTGAGACTTTTGCTTCTGATCTGTGATTGGCTTAGAGTATGGCTTGATGTGCCAATTATCTTCTCTGTAGCCTTGGCACACACTGGACAGACACCAGGCTATGCACTACAAAAATAAATCACATTCCATTATGTAAGCACTAATTCATGTGGTTGCTGGTTATGAAAGCACCGATCTATGCGGCTGCTGGATTCTCCTTGACGGTGTCATGCTGTCTGGATGCTTCCAAGGTCCTGTTACACTGAGGTTTTCTGTCGCTGTCTTTAGGATTTCAGTCTCTCCAACCTGCATGCAGCATTCTCTACATAAGCTGGTGTCTCCATTTGTAATTGGGGTAATGGGGACAGTACAGTCTGGTGAAAGAGGAAAGTAGCATCCAGGACTCAGGTCTTTGAGACTGTGCAAGACTTAGGGAACTTGTTTAGAACATTCATGCGACGGAGAAGAGCATTCACTCCTAAAAGGTTTAGCGAGCGATCCTGAATGTGGTAGGGAGGTGAATTCTCCCCGCTCTGCCACCAGGTTCCAATTCATTCACAAGAAGAATCAATGGGCTCAGTCTGAATTGTTCTGACTCCAGACCTCACAATGCAGAAACTGCTTGGGAATTGTCTTTGCTAGCTTGAATTGTCAACTTGACACAGTCTGGAGTCATCTGAGGGGAAAGCCTCAACTGAGGGATAGCCTCAACCAGACCACCCAGTGGCTATGTCTGTGGGGGATGGTCTTCATTGTTAACCGACACCCAGTGTTGTGCACTGTGGGGAGCACTAGCCCCTGGGCAGATGGTCCTGCACTGTAGAAGAAAGCTAGCTAAGCCTAGCAAGCAGCAAGCAGATGGTCCCCCCTGGTTCCAGCTTTCAAGGCCCTGTGAGAGTTCCTGCCCTGACTTCCCTCAGTCATGGACTACACGTATAAGCATAATAAATCCTTTCGTCCCGAGTTGCTTTTGGTCAGTGTTTTATCACAGCAACAGAAAACAAACTAGGAGTAGAGATGGAGGATGGATGGGAAGGTGGCCTTCTTAATACTGCCTGCCCACTCCTGAGGCATCAAGAAGCCCAGGTAGGGCTTGGATACGGGGTTGTGCTCAGCAGGACTTGGATATATGGGGTGTGCTCAGTAGGACTTGGATATAGAGGGTATGCTCAGTAGGACTTGGATATGGGGGTGTGCTCAGCAGGACTTGGATATATGGGGTGTGCTCAGCAGGACTTGGATATAGGGGGTGTGCTCAGTAGGACTTGGATATAGGGGGTATGCTCAGTAGGACTTGGCTATGGGGTTGTGCTCAGTAGGACTTGGATATATGGGGTGTGCTCAGCAGGGCTTGGATATGGGAATGTGCTAAGTAGGGCTTGGATATGAGGGTGTGCTCAGTAGGGCTTGGCTATGGGGTTGTGCTCAGTAGGGCTTGGATATGGGAGGTGGGGTGTGCTCAGCAGGGCTTGGATATGGGAATGTGCTAAGTAGGGCTTGGATATGAGGGTGTGCTCAGTACGGCTTGGCTATGGGGTTGTGCTCAGTAGGGCTTGGATATGGGAGGTGTGCTCAGTAGGACTTAGATATGGGGTTGTACTTAGTAGGGCTTGGATATAGAAGGTGTGTGCAGTAGGGCTTGGATATAGAGGGTGTGCTTACAAATGTAACTACTAGGAATTCTAAAAGAATCTCTAATTCATGTCCTGTTTGCTCACGAACCCATTTTCTTTTGCGGGCAGATATTAACCCTAGAGATGGTGAACAGTGACAGAAGAGGACCAACAGCTTCGATTGAAAACATCCAAACTTCATACCCACTTCTCTTTTCACTGACGACAGGACAGAAATGGATTTATCCTCCCACGTGAAACAGCTAAACACCCACAAAAAAATTATATGACACTGTTTATGGAGATATTGGGACACTGACTGATTAGAAATGGTAAAGCCCAAGAGACAGGAAACCAATGTAATAAGCTTATAAGTCTCCCCCATCCCTCAAGAGACAGGAAACCATGCAGAATCTGGTGGGTTCTTTGACCAGGTTAAACCTGGGGAGGTCAAGGTGGCTGGAGGTCACAGGTCAAGGAACAGGCAGAAGATGGCATCCCTCACAGAGAGAGCTCTGGGAGTTTCAAATGGTCTCCTATGAGTTCTCGCCTAAGGACTAAGCAGAACTGTATTTGAGTAAATTCCCTAAGACCTCAGGAAAAGACTTGAAAGGATTAGCAGGAAGAGGGTTCCCACAGGGGCAGGAACAGTGTCAGTTCCCACAAGCTGGGGGAAAACTCTCCTAAGTCCTAGGCCACTGCACAGTCCTCAGCAGAGTCTTAGGTCAGTAGTGGGGAATATTTAGTCCTAGACTACACATTGTTCCCACCTAACAAATCTTAGAAGGAGGCTCAGACTAGTTCCAAAGAATTCAAGTATATCCCAGGAGAAATCTTACAAATTTTACAGGAATATAAAAAGAAATTAAAGCTCTGAAACACAGTAAAATTTATTCACAATTTTTGGCATCTAATTAAACAATTCCTAGGCATACCCAGAATACAGAAACTATAATATGCAATTAGAAGAAAAATTAAAAAGAACTGACCTGGTATTGACACAAATGGGAGAAGAAGAAAAGGAAAAATCGGAACGACATTTGTCTGTTGACAAGAGTTAAAGGAAGATTAAACCAGTATGTGGATGCTGAAAGGAACACTACAAGGACAGGATTAACAATCACTGGGGCTGAAACCAGAGACTGAAAACACAGTAAACACACTATACAAAGAGAAACAAACAAAGAAAAAAATACTTAAAGAAGTAAAATAGGAGCGTTAGAGAATTGTGTCACAATTTCAGGTGGCCCTGATACCTGTGTAACCAGAGCCCCTTGAAAGAGAGATTTTGAACATAGCATGATCAAAAAGTTTTCAAATTTTAAACTTCGGATCCATATTTAATCACCATGATCATAGGAAATCTGAAGTTACATTAAGGTACACCCTGACCAAATTTCCCCCGAGCAGTCACAGGTCTGGCAGATACTCTATCAGTAAAGTGCTTGACGCAAACCTGAGGATCCGAATTTGACCCCTTACAAGCCATGTAAAAAACCCAGGTGTGGCCAGGCGTGGTGGCACATGCCTTTAATCCCAGCACTCAGGAGGCAGAGGCAGGCGGATCTCTTTGAGTTCAAGGCCAGCCTGGTCTACATAGTGAGTTCCAGGACAGCTGGGGCTACAGGGAAACCCTGTCTCAAAAAGACAAAAAAAAAAATGCCAGGTGTGGTGGTGCACACTTGTAATCCAAGAACTGGGAAGGCAGAGACATGCAGATCTCTGTGGCTCACTGGCCTGCAGCTCACTGGCCACCCAGCTTAGCCTGCATGAGCTCCAGGACAATGAGACCCTGTCTCAAGAAACAGGGTAGATCGCTCCTGAGGAACGACACCCAATTTGACTAAATTTGACCTCTGTCCTCCATACACACACACACACACACACACACACACACACTCACTCACTCACACCACAATTGGATTCAGAAGTATTCAAAAGGTTTTATATACTTTTTTCTTAAATCATCACTTAGTATGGTAGGTACTGATTGTGACAGAGAGGTTTCAGGGAGTTGAGAAAACACTTAGATTTTCTCCCTTATTATGTGGCCTGAGTGACTGGTTTTAGGAAACATGCCTAAGAGAACTGGACAGTCAACTCTGTCTACCTACTTCCTCTAGCACCCTGGGTCAACCTGCCTTTATTAATCAGCCTTTTTTACAGTAAGTGCAGCCGGATTAGGAAAACAGCCAGCTGAGCCAGTTGTCTTTCTGTCCTAACACCAACTTTCTTCTTGATCAATTCTTTTTCGTGGACACTGACAACCATAAAGATGGATCACTGAGCAAAAATGCATTTTGCTCTTGTCTTTAACTCAAGAGGCTCATGGAAGAAAATAAAATAAAGCCATCTGGATGATTCCCTAACAACAGAAGGCCCATGAATAACTGAGCTGACAATCTGTATGGAATGTATAGCTCTGTTTTCTCTGGAGTCTTTGGAAGTTTGCATTCCTTATTCGTTTCCCCACTAAGTTGAATCAGTTGCTTCTATTTGCTCAGAACACGGAAAGTTCTTAGGGTTTTTGATAAATACATGGATCCAATAACAGTCCAGAGCACTACTTCCTACTGACCTACAGTTTCACCTCAGCAGTAAATGGCCAACTATTCAAACGGAATGTGTACCTGGATGTAAACTGGCCAACTTCTTCGAGTATCACAGAGAGGTGTCTGCTTTCATCTTCCTCCATGTGGGATGAATGCACAGGAAGTTTGTTCGAAGCTCCAAACAAAGAAAGGAAATAATCTTCTCCGTCCCCCAAAATTAATGTCTCTGAGTCTAGACCCAGTAGCTGCTGTTTCTTTGGAAGCAAGAAGCTTGGGCCTTTCAAAGAAATTGGACAAGGAAATGTGACAGATGTAAATAACCAAACATCAAAAGAATCCTTGGCCATAAATTATCTCTGTCCCCTGCGTCGACAGAACCTTCTTTACAGATCTTACTGCCCTGCCAGACTCCACGACAAGTGAGAAATCAAATGTTAAAGGAAAGTCTTTAAGACAGTCAGCAAATGGTATTTCCAGGGACACACTCACTTCCTACAGGTTTTTTTGACTGTCTTAAATGATCAGTTGTATCATGATGTTTGTACAGATTGTGTTGCTGTTTTTTTCTCCAGTGTCTGTAGGAAATTCACATTTCTTGCTGGAGTCCCTACCAGGAGCATAATGGATGTTTAACTGACTATTTACTGTACTTTCTTAGAAACATCATCAGTTTGTTAGTGGATACATATTTGATCCTGTCAAATTTGGATATTATATTTACTAATAAAGCCTTATTTTAGTTGAGATTTGTTATACTGCCCAAATTATAATCATTATATAAATTAAAGCCTCAGTTGAGTCCTTTTATACAAATGGTTAGGGCACTTTACCAGATAAAGATTTAGACTTCTGTGAGCCAAAACACACACTTTATTACAAAGATAGTGATTGATTAGATCCTTTACTATAGCGGAGCTAGTCTAACATGCAACACAGAGAAAATGGCATTACTGGGAATAAATGATAAACTGTCAGTCAGGCTAGGCGGCTTTCAAAATAATCTCTGCTACATACTTTGCTTTCCTGCGCTGGTGTCTGCTCGGGAGTGGCTCATTAAGGTAGATTTAGAAGTCAGTGGTCCCATGGATGATAAGGTTATCCCACTGTTCTGAGTGCTGGTGATGTGGCAGAAGCTGAGAGGCATTTCTTGGTAAAATGACTGTGACATCTCTATCGATGTGGTATCTGAATCTGTCCTCTTGGGGAGAAAATGGACCGAAGATGGCTTTTTTGTTGGGCTTAGAACACCAGATTTGTCTTCTCTTCTACATGCAAAAGCTTTATAATGAGAAAAGTACGAAAGTCAAAATGGCTATGAAAATACTTAAGAAGCATGAGATGTTATTCAGAATTCTGCTTTCTGAAAGTACCACACAGCTAACAAGAGTTCCACAGCATCCGGAAACTCTAGTTCCAACAATCTAAACAAAGCAGGTCTGTATTCTTTTATAATTTCTTTCATTTTTAACTTAAAGATAAAATTTCCTACGGCTGATGCTTCTGAAAATTAAAAATTGACAATAATCACTTTATGTCACCAACCAGGAATTTTTGGCATTTCTTTTGAGGCTTTTTAATACTTTTTTTTCACTATAAGATTAATACTTGTTGCTGCTTAACTAATTTTCCAGTATGAGCAAAATTTTGGTGGTTAATAACTGCTTTCTAATAATTCTCTCCCTCTACCTTCTCTCTCCTCTCCCTCCCTCCCCTCCCTTCCCTCTTCTCCCTCCTCTCTCTCCCTCCTTTCCTCCCTCCCTCCCTCCTTCCCTCCCTCCCTCTTCTCCCTCTCTCTCTTCTCCCTCTCTTCCCTCCTTCCCATCCCTCCTTTCCCTCCCTTCCCTCCCACCCTCCCTCCCC